CACCCTCAATGATATTTATTTTGTAATTATTTAACTTTACCTTCATTGTATAGATTTAAATATAACTATAATAAATAAATAAAAAATAAAATATAATATAATATCAGTTAGATTATTTGAAATAAAATAAAATATATCTAAGATCAGTTCAACTAAATCTTGAGGGTGGGTGGGTGTGGGTATGGATTCGTCTCTTATTTAACTACCCACATCCTGCTTTGGATCCCTATTCCTCAACAGAATTTATTGTCTTCTCTTCAAAAAGCGTATATTTTTGTAGCAAATTTAATTTTTCATCTGATGGAATGAAAAAATCGATTATATAGGTAGCAAAGAAATCGATCTTTTATAACAAATACTCATTCTACTACAATGACTGGAGGGTGTGGGTATAAATCTTCTCATAACTTACACCGTTACCCACACCCACCCTCGTCTACTTTCACACCTCGATGATCTAAGTTTTGATGTGCGTATGATATTTATTCTTGATATTCTTTACATATCTACACTCTACTCTTGAGATTTGCCTTTTTTATACCACTTTAGCACAGTAAAAGGAAATATAACTTGCATAAATCTAGAAAATTTTATTATGATCATGCAGGTGTCAAAAATAACAAAAATGTAGTTTATTAAACAAGTGGGTAGCTAGCCATGGCTGCAATACCGCATTGATTATTCTTATTACGACTCATCCAAATATAACCATTTTGACCCCACGAAGTACCCCAGGAATTTTTAACAATATAATAAAGTTGACTATCTGTTGCGTTAAAACCAACAATTAAGGCACAATGATCGACTACAGTTGATGAGCATTGTGGTTCGTCATAAACACCTGATCGATAGAATTGAAATGAAGAATGTGAAGCATCAATAAAAACTGATATAGGACCAATAATAGCAACAGCATATGAGAGAGCGGCTTCATCATTTGGTTTGATATTACGGAAACCCTATAATATTAGAATTAAAATTGAATACTCTTCATATAAATTTAATCTTTACAGTAGAATTAGCACCAATATTTGTACGATTAAATCGACATGTATTATTACGTGCTTCATATGGATAACTTTCTTCAGTATCGATACCAGCATTGATTTTGATATATTGAAAAGCTGAATTTATAAATCCACCATTACACCCAGAGTTACCAAAACTATCTGAACAATCAACTAAGTTTTGTTCAGAAAGTGAGATAAGCTGTCTAGTTCGATGAAAATGTTGACCTTCGAGTGAACCAGTAGCTGAAAAAGCCCAACTTGAACCGCATTTACCTTGATCTTTAACTGATGTAACAGCACCTTCGTTCCGCCAATCTGAAAAGAAATTATTTGTCGAATATAGATCTAAGAAAATACAAACATTACCAACAGCTCGTGGAACAGTAGTATCTGATAGAATAACAAACGTATGATGATCAAAACTGGACCTTTTCATTTCAACAGATATCTTGAATTGATTCATTTGTTTTTTAAATTCTTCATGAGTCTAATAAGATATAAAAGAAATTATCAATATAATGCAAAAACAAAATATACCATATCACCAAATTGATTCATTCCTAATGTATAACTGTGTATACCCGAATCAGTTTCATGATTATGTTGATGAATTTTAGCTAAATTAACTTCCCAAATAGTTCGACTATTTGAATGTAGAAAAAAATAGTGTAATACAGAAGTTCTTTTAACTTACCGAATTATTTCTTCTTCTATTGAAATATACTGTTTTCTATACGTGCGTTTAAATATATTCCATTGATTATCAAGATGTTTATTAAATATCGATACACAATAAGTACCAACAAAAAAAAGAAAGATAACAATGATTACCTTCATTGTAGTAAGTATTCTTAAAGTGCTTATTTAACAACAAAATAGAACTTATACACAATGAAAAATGTGCTTGTAATTTTATATGACTTATCATTGCTTCGACATCATGACACCTTTTGCAAAGATAACAGAAAAATTGTCATATCAATTAGACAGAACAAAAAATTTACAGAGAAGATTAATATCATCGATTAATGCATTGTATTTTTGACAGAGTATTAAATATAAAGTCGTCAGAGCTAAGTAAAGTAGTATATAATTTCTTCTAAATTTTTTTGATTTGATTTTATTAAATAAGAAAAAAAGTTTTAGTGAAAAGTAACTATGTAAGTTTTTCTTGGTGTATATGAAGGATGATATAGATTTATCAGTTCTCATGTATACTGATCAAATAACTTTGGTACTATTAATTCTTTGTCATCGATGTTTAAGATTATTAAGATCAACTGAAAAAATATTTTAATACATGCATAAGTAGAACTCAGTAACTTTTTGAATACAATTCTACTCATACTTAGTTAGAAAACATCTGTGTTTTATTGTATCTTCTATAAAATTAATTTTCATTTCATTGATATTAACGCTAAGTTATTATTAAAAGGCAGATAAAAAAACCTGTTCATTAATTCTGTTGGCATGACCATTGTGATATATAAGTTTATCACCATATGAAATAGTTTATAGATTAAACGATGTAACTTCAAATAAAATATTATTGTTAATTAAAAAAAATCAGACTTTCATATATGTATCTTTAAAGTAGATGAAGGTCATAGTATGTATCATTGCTATTTCGTCTGACTCAACGAATCGTCAAACCAGCTGTGGTTCTATTTATCTGTTTTTAAATGTATTTGTCGTTTCATTACTCTCATGAGAAGAAGAAAAAGGAAAAAAGGCATATTTTCTTTTCTATTTCATTCTTTCTTTTCGATTGACATCATATATATAGGAAAAAGATATGCAATTTCATCTGTTTTTATTCTTTTTGTTCTCTCATCATAACTTTATTTCTACTATTGATAACAAATATATGAATCAAAACAATTCACCGATTAATGTTGATCTCTATCAATGTGATACTAATAATACAATATTCAACAATACTATTATCAATAATGATAGAATATTTAATAATCTAATGCATCCATGTAACATCAGTTGTTGTATATCAAATAATTTAAATAAGACAAGTATAAAGAAATCTTAAAATCATTTCGATAATTTCATTTCATTTGTTTTTATATTCTTAGTCGTTTTGAATACATGTCAAATTACTGTACGATCTTCTACAAATATTTGTGTTGGTCGTTTCTGTTATTCTGGAAAATGTGATACTTTTTCATTCTTAGCTAATATGATTCATGATGATAAAATTGAAAATAAAACAACAATTATGGATACAATTCATGCATCATCTGGTTACATTCCATGGTCTTCAATAATTAATTCTACACGAACTAAATGGACTTCATGGATAGATGAGACTAGTATAAGAATTCGTCCTATTATTTTAATTATTTTATTCATTATAAGTATCTCATTGACATTTATGACATTAATTGTAGTAATCAAATCAATGCGACATGCAAATATAATTTCCAATAGAAAATCCTACCGTTATACTCTACTCTAATCGTTTGTCTTTTTTTTTTATTTTAAATAAATTTTGATTTTGAAGAAAGGTATACAATTACAGATTATTTGTTTAAAAAGGTAGAACAGTCACTTTTTTACCATCACGTGTATCAATTAATTTACAATGATGATCATTCGTTATTGCTTGTAGACATTCGATAATATTCTTTGCTGCAGCATCTGGTGTCAATGGAGCTTTATCTGTACCCATATTTGTTTTTACCCAGCCAGGATGAAGAAGTGAAAAAAAGATTTTCTTTTTTTCAAGATCTTTACCCATACATATTGTTAACATATTTAATGCAACCTATAAAAAAAATAGATGAAAATAGTGATAATAAAATTAAAAATCTTAAACTAACTTTACTACATTGATAATCATAATAATAATATGGAAGATTTTTTGCTAGTTCAAGTGAAGACATGATCGACGAAATATTAATTACAGATGATTGTTTTATATCACGTTGTTTTAAATGTAATGCAGATTTTTCTAGAAGAGGTAAAAATGCCTAAAAGAGAAATATATTGAAGGAGAAAATAACGAAAGTGAAATATACTTTAGTAACTTTCCATGGTCCAATAACATTTTGACGATATGTTTCCATCATATCTTTTTCATTAATATTTGAAAATCTTAATTTTGTTGTCGTGCCTGCATTATTAATTAAGCAATTTAGATCATTTCCATTCAATCTTTGTTCTACTTGTTCAACTGCTTTTTTAATACTAGCATCATCAGTAATATCTATTCAATTAAAGAAAAGAAAATTTTTTATTTTTCTATTATCTACATAGAATTTACTAACCAAGTTGAAGTGGAACAATTGTTGCTGAATGTTCTTTAGCTAAATCAAATAATTCCTAAATAAAGAAAATTTTATACATACATATTTTTTTTTATTTCATAATTTTAAAAAGCTACTTTAGATCGATCCATTTCACGATAAGTAGCAAAGACATGATCAGTTTTAGATTTTAAAAATTGTTTTACTAGTCCATAGCCAATACCACGATTAGCTCCAGTAATTAGAACGCTTTTCATCTAATTAATGTTTCAAAAAAATAAAAATGAATCGTTATTTAGAATAAAAAATAAGCTTTATAATCTATCTGTATTTAGTAGTATATAAAATGAACTTCAATATAAAAAAGTGTTATTTGTAATGTCAGTTAGTTAAAACGGAGTTATAGCACATGAACTTCCTGACGTAGCATCAACTAATTTTCCATAATGTTCATTCTTCATTGAATTTATACATTCAACAATACTTTTACATGCTTCTTCGATTGTTAATGGAGCTTGTGCACCACCCATTTCAGTTTGAACCCATCCAGGATGAAGTAAAGTAATATAAATATTTGATTTAGCTAAAGTTTCTGCAAAACAGACAGTAAACATATCTAGTGCTGCCTTCGAACATTGATAATCAAAATAAAAAAAAGGCATCGTAGGAGCTAATGTAACTGAACCCATACCACTTGATACATTGATAATACTTGCTTGAAGAACATTTCGTTCTCCACTAACTGCTTTTTCCACAAGCGGTAAAAATGTCTAAAGATGAAAAAAAAATTATTTTGACATATATATGACTGTATATAAATAAGCAAACAATACAAACACACCTTTGTTACTCGCCATGGTCCAATAACATTGTGTTTGTATGTATCAAGCATATCTTTTTCATTGATATCATTAAATTTTAGTTCTTTATTTACGCCAGCATTATTTAATAAACAATTGAGACCTCGACTATTACCTAATTTATTTTCAACTTCAATTTTTGCTTTATTACAACTTTCATCATCACTAACATCTTAAGTAATTTAAAAAATAAATTTAATTTACATCAATCGAATTAAAAATAAAAACTAGACAAACCAATTTGAATTGGAATGATAACATTTGAATGTTGTTTTGCTAAATCTAACAATTCCTATCATATATAAAATATATTAACCTGTCTTTTTTTCTTCAAAAATTTACTTTAGATTTATTAACATCACGGTAACCAGCAAAAATGTATTCAATAGATGATGGATTTGAAACAAGTTGTTTGACAATACCTAAACCAATACCACGATTAGCACCCGTAATCAAAATACTTTTCATGATAAAATATCTAAATAATACGAAACTATCTGAAAAATGAAATAAATAAATAAATAATATTTATTAATTCTTTTAATATGTTTTATTATTTGATGAGTATAGCTAGACACAAGTGAACAATTAGTTTATCACACAATTGATTCATTAATGTTCAGTATATAGATTGTAATGTTACATTCAGAGCTAATTTCAAATGAAGAAAAGTTTATTTCAATTATATTAAATCTTGTTGATATTCTTTAATAAATAATGTATTATCTAATAGAAAACTGAATAATTATATGCAGAGTTTGAGCAATATATGAGGATAAGAAAATAACTTGAATCGACTTAATATAGTCATATACTCTCATATCAAAATTAAAGAAACAGATAAAAAATATATTTTAGATTTCTATTAATCATAATAACAGTAGAAACAACAAGTAAGTGTTATGTATATATATGATCATTGATCAAAACGAGTTTTACGTTTTTCACCACTTATATCAGAATTATTCGATGAACCAACACCAAGTTGATCAACTTTTTTAACACCTGGAGTAAATCCAATCTATAAAAAATAAATAAATAATATTAATGATAACATTTGGAAATATATTAATTTACTTTTGGACGTTCTCGTCGTTCTTTTTCTCTACGATCCATTTCAATTTTTTGTGCTTTACCTAAAAAAACCTTCTTATCAATTAAATTTATCTTAAAATAAATAACAACATGCATACCTAATTCTTCATAATATGATTCTTTACCCCACCAATGTGGATCATATAGTTCCTATACATATACAAAATAAAATAAATTAAAAAATATCAAATTTTAAAAACGTACTTGTGGAAAATTTGTTCCAATTTCATCAATCTCCAAATGAGAAATTATTTTTTCATACATACTAAAAAAAACGTTTTTAAATATTATTTTAATCAAACAATGAAATTTTTTTTGCATTACCATGGATTTCGAAAATCTTTTAATTCTTGTATAGCTACATTTTGATCAACACCGGTTTTTTTAAATCGTTTATAATATTCTTCAAATTTTTTCTATTGATATATAATTAAATAAATAAAATCATTTAGTATAAAAAAAGTTGATTACCTCTAATTTAGCTGAACAATTTTTTGCGGGTTCTGGTGGTATACGAATATCAGCATCTTCAGGAAATATTAATGGATAATCTAATAAAAAAATAAAACAAAAAATAATTAAAACTATTTATCAAATAAATTTTTACGAGATGTTAAATCATTACGAGATGATGGTGATGCATCGTCTGGTTTAAACTATAAATACAAAAAATATAAAATAAATTGATAATAATTTAAAATCGATCGTATATACAGGTGTAACATTTAAAAGATCTGATGTAACAATTGTTTGTTCAGTATATGTCGTAGATTCCATTGGAATAGAATCTGATTCTCCAGTACCATGTAATATACCAGCACTATTTGAATTTGATTGATCATCATCATCATTTTGTTCTTCATTATTATTATCTTCTTCGTCTTCTTCATCTGTATGTTCATCATCATCTGAATCACGTTCATAATTAACTAATGAAGATTTATCTAAAAAATGCAATAATATTGTTTTTTTTTCGATAATAAATATATATTTTTTTTATTAAAAATACAAACTTTTTGTTAATGGATGTTTACGAGTTGTTGAAGGTATTTTAGTAATTGGAATTGGAATTGTTGTTGAGTCGGGTGTTGAACTTTTTGATGTTAGTCGTTCATGAAGATCTTCATCATCTGAACCAGAAATATGTTCATCACCAATACCAATATCAAGTATAGCAGTTGATGATGCTGGTACAGGAGAAGAAGAAGATTCATCAGGAGCTATATCAATGTCCATAGAATTATTTGTTGTTATTTCTTCATCAGACATTTTTTTACATCAAATAAATAATTACATCTATTATTTTTACTTCTCTTTATTCATTCATTCTATTTCTTACAACTATTCTCCAATCAAATGTAATGACAGTGACATCTAGCATACGTTTTGTTTAGAGGTAAATCTAAGTAACAATTGTATATGCTGCATTTTTATGGCTTCTTATCTGTTTATCCGGTTAATCCATAAGATATATCTCTTTTAAAAAACAAAAAAGAAAATGGCTCAACATAGAATGCAAATGAAACGTTTTGAAGCTTATGAAAATTTAATAAGTAGTTTAGACACAGAAAATGATCTTAATGATATAACACTTGAAAATTTAACAAATCCAATAGATGATCGTTAGTAGTATTTTAATTTTTATTATTAATTAATAAAAAAACCAAAATTTTTTGTTTTTCTTATTCAAAGAAATCAATGAAGAAAATTCAAAAATATATAAATCAACAATTCGAAGTTATAGCAAGTAAAAATAAATTCATTAATAAATTTTTCTTTCTGTTCTATAAACTTGTTTGCTTTCAGTCTCACCTATGAATCAATTCAATATCATATTCAACGTCCATCTCAAACATCATTAATTAGTGAACAATTACGTAATCTACGTCGAAAATTTAGTGATCGAACTGATCATATTAAAGAAATTATTCATCAACCACCCGATTATGATCATGATAAAGGCAGTTAGTATATCTATAAAACATCTTGTATTAATATGAAATTTATTTTTAATTCAACTTTTCTAAGGTACTACTGTTACTGTACGTGAAGAATTACAACAAAAACAATTTCCTCGTCGATCAATATTTGCATCTGAAAGTGTAAGTCATGCTTCAACACCTAGTTTAGCTCCAGAAGTTAATGGAATAAAACAACGTTTACAAAGAATTCTCTTACGTTGTATACGTAAATCTGGTATTCGAAAACCAATTGATACAGATAGTAAGTTGAAAATAAAATAAATTTTGAATATTTATTTTACTTGAAAAAAAAACAAGGTAGTTCACATTTAACTTGGTTACTATTTGTTGCAATGGCATATTTATATAATTTTATATCGATTCCATTACGTATAGCATTTCCTATATGGAAAAAAGGAGAAACAAATATTTGGTTATGGATGATAATCGATTACTTATGTGATGTATTATATGTAATTGATACATGTTTTGTTCAAACAAGAATTAAATATTTAGAAAATGGATTGTGGGTTGTAAGTAATCAGTACCGATCTTGTATTTGAGATTTACTAATATATATATTTATTTATTTTATTCTAGACAGCATTTCGTTTAACGGCAAAGAAATATTTGCATTCATTACGATTTTTATTTGATTGTTTATCACTTGTACCATTAGATTTGTTTTATTTTCTATTTGGTTTTCAAGCAATATTTCGCTTACCACGTTTACTTAAATTACAATCATTAACAGATTTTTTTCGTTATTGTGATCGTTGGGTACAATCATTTTTTGCTAGTGTACGTCTTGTACGAATTCTTGCATTACTTCTCTATGTTATTCTATCTGTACATGTATATGCATGTATTTATTTTGTTTTTTCAAATTATGAACGTCGAAATGGTGTTGATAATGGTTGGGTTTATAAAATTGAAAGTCAACCACGTATGAGTGCATATTCATATTCATTTTATTATTGTTTTAAAATTGCTTCAACCATTGGAAATATTCCAAGTCCAGAAACTGGACTTGAATATGTCTTTGTTATAATTGGATATTTATTTGCATTATTTATATTTGCTTTATTAATTGGTCAAATACGTGATGTATTTCAATCAATGAATCAAAGACGTTCAGAATATCAAAATAAAGTTGAACAAGTTATGCAATATTTAAAAAAATTTGAATTACCACAAACTGTACAAACTCGAGTTAGAAATTGGTTTCAATATAATTGGGAAGATAGAAATACACTTGGTTTGTTTTATTTTGAATAAAATTAAATTTTAAATAAAGTTTTTGTGAGTAGAAGATGATGATACAACCTTATCATTTTTACCTACGACTCTTCAAACTGAACTTGCAATTAGTATTCATTATGATACATTATCAAAAGTACAATTATTTCAAGTAAGGCTTGTGTTTTTTTTGACTATTTTTCAATGTTTTATATATATATATATCTATATAAAGGTTTAATATTTTCTGGTACGTATATAAAACAGTTAAAAACTATCCTTACTATACATAAGACTTAGTAATAACTTTGATTACTTTTTCAATAATTTCACGTGTGTTTTGCTGAATCTAACATGCTATTTATTCTGTAGGATATTATATATATATCTATCTGATGAATAATTTTATAGGATTGTGAAAAAACATTTCTTCATTCGTTGGTATTAAAATTAAAACCTGCCTTGTTTTTACCGGGTGATTACATATGTAAAAAAGTAAATCGATATATTTTTGTCTAAAATAAATTCTATAAAAAACGTTTTTTTCAAAGGGTGAAATTGGTCGAGAAATGTATATTGTTAATCATGGAAAACTTGATGTATTTATTGATGATAAACGTATAGCAGGTCTTGAAGATGGTGCAGTTTTTGGTGAAATTAGTTTACTTGAAGTTGCTGGTGGTAATCGACGTACAGCAGACGTGAGTAATTATAATTCAAGTTATTTATTTTTTTTAAACTATATTATATTCTAGGTAATTTCACGAGGTTTTTCAACATTATTTACTTTACATAAAGCAGATTTAAATGATCAATTAAAAGATTTTCCTGAGGCTGGTAAAATTCTTCGTCGAAAAGCAAAGTAAAAATAAAAACTAATAATAATATTAATTTATTTTTATCATTTAAAAGAAAACTAATGAAACGTTCTTCAAAACCAGATGAAGAAGAATCAGTTCATGATGATGGTGTTGTTCAAGCAGAACCAATTATTGTCGATCATCCACCAAAACCTGATCCAAAATTACTCGATACAGTTCTTAAAGTAATTCGAATTAAAAAAAAAAACAAACTAAATCTTTCATATTATATTCTCTATAATTATCAATAGGCTGTTGGTACAAAGTCAAAATTAGCAGAAGTATTAACTCGACCTCGACCCAGTATATATCCATCATTTTCATTAGAAGTTCCTGATATTACTATATGTAAGCATATATACTTTTCTTTGAAGTGAATATTTCTTTTTTTGTGATAATATTCAATAGCGGATAATCATGAACCAATTGAAAATGAACATAATCGAAATTTAAAAGTACCAACATTAACAGTTACACCAGCCGATGCAACAACAACACGAATTCAATCACTACGTCAAAAATTATTTTCTATGCCATTACAGTAAGTTTCTTTTATCTCGAAATTATTTAATTTAATATTTTTATTTTATAGAAATTTACCATCAGCAATGAAATATTCAAATGATGATGATGATGATGATGATGTATTTATTTCTGGTCGTTTACCAACATCAGAAACAAATGAAACATTATTACTAGATGATGATCTTGTTTAATTTCAAAATAAAAATAATTAGATCAGTTTTATATTCATATTTTATTCTTTGAAATGAATGATTAAGAAGAATTAAAGAATTGTTTAACTATACTAAAACAATAAATGAAGAGAAAATTCATATAGTTAGTTTATGTTTATCTTGTTCTACCAAGACATAAGTGCTTCTCCATTGCCATCAGCAAATTTATTTCCTAAAATACGTGCCCAATCAACAATCCACCATACGAATGCGAATAAAGTAATAAATGTACTAACACCACGAAATTTTAATTTGATTGCTTCAGTATTTTGGCTTTCAGATCCAAAATATGTTAATGGCCATGCACTACAGCAGCCACATCCTAATAATAATTTTAATAAACCAACAATAATATAAGCAAAACTGGAACGTGAAAGATAAAACCAATCAGCACCAAATGTACCAAGAAAAAACGAAAGACAAAAAGCCGTTTTTTTTGAACGTTGTTTATAAGTACAATATTGAATAGTGTCATTCGTATTACTAGGTGTTTTCCATCCTAGATTGCATTCAGTAGTATTAATAGAATCTGTATGATTGATAGTGACTGGAAAACTTCCAAGTGGTAATTCATTTCTAGCAGCAGGCGAAGTGTTGACACAAACCACAGAAACAAATATAAATGTTAATGTAACACTAATTAAAAAGTGTATAAAATTTGCCATATTTTGTTTGTATTCAATAGATATATTTAAAAATTGAATGAAAGCAACAGAGAGGATGAGAGCAGTTATAAATACCTCAGAATGATAGATAAACATTGTTGAAAGAGAAAGAAATAAGTACGTGTTGTTATTTCTAATCTATTTCATAAAGTATTCAATAACAAAATGTCAGTTTACTTCTCAACTTTATCTATACAGTGAATGATCAATCCATCCAGATGCATGCTTATATTATAATAAAAATGTTGTCCATTTTTCTAATACGTGCTTAAATCTAAGCAATTCGAATCATATTTTTTATATATAAAATCGCTTTCTCCGAAAAAAAATAATATGAATTTTTAGCATAACTTCTACAGATTACATTCAAATTTTTCTTGTTTTTTTTCTCTTTACATTCTATTTCCCACGTCAACTATATTATATTATAAAATATTACATAAACTATCATACGGATATAATAGTGATGATTCGGAAGACAAAATAGAATCTAAATTATTAACAATCACTTCAAATAAAATCTCACAATTTAAAAGACTCTTCATAGACAAACATATAGTTACATCAGTCTTCTGCCAACAAAGTATAATCAAGTGAGTCAAAAGATCCGGAAAGGAAATACATTTAATATAACCGATACAACTGATAAAAGAATCTGATGTTTT